AGTTCAAATTTACCTAGCTGTTTGAGCATGGTACCTGGCGCAAAAAATTGCTCCCGGCACTTAAAATAAGATACTAAGTACCCCCCCTAGAAAAAAAACCTATCTACGCGCATGCATATTTTACTATCAGACAAAAAGGTTATCAAGCAGTCAAACATTTTGTTTTCATTGAGTGATAGTAGAAAGAAAATATTAACAGGAAGTGGGATGTTCTTGTCTATCATTCTTTTATAGTGTATTTTTATGTATGAGAGAGTAATAAAACAATAAATTATGTATGCAAATCCCTAAACTGTTGATACGGGTGACTCAATGAAAAACAGATATTTGTCAACAAGTTATTTTATTTAGCGTATGGATAATTACAATACGATAAAAGTAGTATTTAGATAATAATTATTAATTATTAATTATGTTCAAATTGGAATTGTAACCTAAGTTAAATATTAAATATTAATGTCCAAGTTGCACAGCCATTCAATTGCACCAGGAGAACACTCTGCAAAATCTTGAAGGTCTCCGCTGTATCTGCGGATTGGGCAATCCGCCATGATGTGTTGGATGGTCTGTCTCGGGGATCCACAATCACAATGTGGGCTTTCTGCATGACCCCATCGGTATAGAGAATCAGCACATTTGCCATGACCCGTGCGTATGCGATTTAATTTTGTCCATATAGGGCGTGGCAGGTTTGATCCAGTGAAGCCGATCGACGTACTTGTTTACGTTGATGACGTCTGGCTCTGTTGTTGGCATCCATCTTTTCGTCCACTGCTCTTGCTTATTGTAGCTATCACCCATTCCCTGAACGGATTGGACAGGGGGTCGTCTGGACTTCAGTCTTTGTTGGTCTCGTGCGGCGTGCGGAATATACTGGTGAATTGGCAGACGATTATTTGCCATGATTTTCTGATATTCTTTGACAAGTGCTGCCGTTCGTCGAATATCTGGAAGTGCTGTATTGCTCAGAATTGGAAGCCATCTTAGTGGAGTTGATTTAATAGTACCAGATATTACTCTCATAGTGTAATTTAGTGGAACATCAATCTTGTCGACATGAGCGCTATTTAGCCATACCGGTGCGCAGTATTCAGCGACAGAATACACCAGGGCCAGTGAGGAGGTTCGAAGTGTATCCGCAGTGGCACCCCATGTCGTTCCAGCAAGCTTTGTTATTATGTTGTTACGGGTTCTCACTTTGGCAGCTACATTCGTAAGATGGGTTTTGAACGTCAGTGATCTGTCCAGCGTTACACCCAGGTATTTAGGGTTGTTATTATGTTTCAAAGTCTCGCCATTGAAGGTGATGCTAAGGGTGTCATTCGAAAGCTGATTTGTGAGATGGAAAAGGCTTGTCTCAGTTTTGTTGGTATTAGGGCGAAGTCGCAATTTTTTAAAGTAGTCGCAGAGAACCCTTAAGTCTTCGGTAAGCGCCCTTTCTCCAAGGCGCCCTTTTTCTAAGGGTGTAGAGCTAGTTCGCGTCCGTAGTAGAATACTACACGTGCCCCCTGGGTAACGCTAAATGAACTAGCATTGTCGGAAGCCAAACTGGCGATTACGCCCTCCTGGCTAACAATACGATGAAAATCAACAAGTTTACAGAAGTATATAGGAAAACAATTTTAAATTGAGTATGGCCACTAGGTATAAAGGTTGGAGCAGAATAGAATACAATAGTTGTGAGGGTTACTAATCCCTAAATAAGGTTGCCAGTGTCGGAGTGATGAAGGTTAACAGGTACTAATGAATTTGCAAGAAATGTAAGATGTTTATTTTATTGGTTATATATAACCAATAAAAGTTTAATAAGTACCTACCTATTTGCAAAATAAAGTTTAATTCTTTAGATAAAATAAAACGTTTTATTTTATCTGAAATGAGTGCATTCCACGAAGTAAGGGTTTCAACAATCAAACAATTAATTCTTTAATTCCAGGAATCTACGACAGTAATTGACTAGATAATTACCTTCTAAACTTATTCCACAGAAAATGTGATAGTGGGTTTTTCCATTTTGTAGGAAGGTCCAAGTGGCGTATTCAAAATTCTTAACAGTTCACTAAAAGTAGGTACTTCAGTTGCAAGGTGCAGTTTATTGTGTATACTAGTGTTATGGAAAATTTGGAAGTGCCGTGTAAACGCCGAAAAATTGGTCCTTTAACAGTTAATGAAAAAACATTAATATTTAATTGTTTTAAATCATTTACAGACAAACGTTTATGTGAAAGTGTTGATGAGACCGTTGAGTTAGTTAGCAGTACACTTGGTGTTGGGAAATCTACGATTAGAGTTATTAAAGAAAAGAAATGTGGTAGTTTTCAAATGCCACGTAATGCTCCAGGTAAACCAAAATTTCAAATAGAATATCATTTTAAAGAAGGACTTCGACGGAAAGTGCATGAATTCTTCTTTAGACAAGAATTTCCAACATTGGATAAAGTTCTTGTCTCAGTTCGAGATGATAAGGATTGCCCAGAAATGAGTCGAAGTACGTTATGGAATCTTTTAAAAGAAATAGGCTTCTGCTGGAAAAATAATCCCAGAAAGTTTATTTTATTAGAAAGAAGCGATATTGTCATATGGAGAAGACATTTTCTAAGAACCATAAAGGAAATGAGAAACCAAAAAAGAAAAATATTTTATCTTGATGAAACATGGATCAACGAGGGTCATACACCAAATAAATTTTGGCAGGATGAAACTGTTCCAAGTCAAAGGCACGCTTTTGTAAATAACTTATCTACTGGTTTAAACCCACCATCAGGAAAGGGACGCAGGCTGATAATAGTACACATTGGCAGTTCAGACGGTTTTGTTGAAGGTGGTTTATTAACTTTTAAATCAACTCGTACCGGTGACTACCATGAAGACATGAACGCTGATGTCTTTCAAGAATGGTTCGAACAAATGATAGATCTTCTTCCTAAGAACTGTGTAATAGTAATGGATAATGCAAGTTATCACTCCAGACTTATTAAAGGACTGCCCACAACCAAGTGGTTAAAAAAAGACTTGCAGAATTGGCTGAGTTCAAAAAATATTACGTACCATCCCGGATCTATAAGAAAGGAACTTTATTCGTTGTGTGCCCTTCATAAAGAAAAATTTTAAAAATACGAAATTGATGAAATTGCCAAAAATCGTGGAATGACAGTACTTAGATCCCCACCATATCATTGTGAATTAAACCCGATTGAACTGGTATGGGCACAGATAAAGAGTGAAGTTTCAAAAAAAGATACCACTTTTAAAATTCATGATGTTAAACAGTTGTTTTTGGAGGCCGTAAATAATGTAAAACCTGAAAACTGGGAAAAGGCAGTAAATCACACTATTAAAGAAGAGGAAAAAATGTGGAAGCTGGACAATATTACTGATAAAATGATCGAGCTAGTTATTATAAATCTTGGTTCTGAAAGTTCATCTTCTGAATCTGATTTGGATTTGTAACAAGTAGCTGTAAGTTTTATATTAATATTTTTATTCAACTATTTAACATACCTTAGACGGTTTTAAAAACTCTTTTTCTCTTTTGTACTTTTTAAAAATTCAAAAAAATTGTGAATTTTTTAAAACTCTTTTTAATGTAGGCCAGTCAGTTCTAATATAGTGTGATAAAAAAGGTCACTTTTGTTTACATACACATAACACTTTATAACACTGAAATAATTCATTTATTTTTTACAATTATTCAAAGTAATTTTTCAATTAATCTTGAGTACGCCCATGGAGTGGTCGAAGGTACCAGTTAAAATTATGCTAATTACTCTCTCGTTCATACAAATAAACTATAATTAGGTTGTTGGTGGGTTGTTTATACTTTTGACATTAAAAAAATATGTGGTTTAACTTACTTTTATTCTGACATTCTTGACAAATATCCGAATCTAATATATTTATTTTAAATAAATGTGCAGGATAACATTCATGGCCTTGTTAAATCTAAATCTAAATCTACTGATGGTAGTTATGTATTTGCGAGGGAGGACGAAATTCTTATACCAATGATTTTTTGCAATAATTGGTTGTATCAAGCTGTATTGTGTTGTTGAAATACTGCAGTAGTTTTCCCTGTGTTCTCTCCAGTTGTTCATTTGTTCAGTTCTTGAACAAGCAAAAGCATCCATAATGCAATGTTGATAGTTGGTTAGTGTTCCATAAATGATGGAATTTTTAGCTAACTGGCCTATGTGGTCATTATATGTTAGTCCTGAATTTAAAACATTTGCATATTACACAAATAACAAGGCTTTATGTGGTCATATTTAAAGCCTGCTAAGTAAATAATTAAAATTATTATGTAGCTTTTTCCTAAAGCGGTCCTTCATAGGCACATTTCCCCTATTATTTTATAATCTTTCTAAGGCCTTTATTTCTTTATCAAAAATGTTATTTCCTTATTAAATAAAAAATGTTTATTTAATAAATATTTCTTTATAAAACACACAAGTACGTATGACGTTTATAGACATACATATATTATATATTATATGTAATTGTCAAATCTGTCTGTATGAGAAATATTGCGGCTGTCCTATTGGTTAACAATTTTAACCATATAAAATAATATGCGAGTTTATTTCAGAATAACAATAACTGGAAGAAAAAAAATATCAACTTAAAGTGATCTATAAATGATTGATGACAACATAATTAACATACAACACGATTAAGATAGTAAAGATTAATCTATAAGATAAATTTTGTTTTTCTCCAAATAAATGAAACAATATAATTTATTTATTTTGATTAAAAACATGTTTTAAAAATAACTCTAAAATCTAATCTATATCTAAAATAACTAATTTCGACAATATATATATATATTCGAAATATAAATTATAAGTATAATCTATTTGACTAATGTTATAATTTATTGCCAAAAAAATATTACAATATATGACTACAACGCCACACAACTAGAATAAGAACCACTAAAATAAGAAGTTCTTTCAGCATTATGTTAATGGTAAGGCATAAAGTGAACTAAAAAATATTACCAACATTGGATGGTCCTCCTCCAGCGTTATAGCCAGCTCTCCATCTTCTTCTGGCTAGGACTGCCCTCCAGGGTTGTTTTGAGTGTAGTGATCCTTCCATCATCCAATCGTCTGGACCTATATGAACCAAGTCGAGTTGGGTGAAATGTCGTGAAAAGTCTTCAAAAGACATCCTAAAAAGTGTATGTTTTTAGTAAACTACTATAATTTCAGTAGCATTTCAATAAGTTAGTAAGACACGCAGTTTGGTTTTCGCAATAGCCTAAGAACCAGATAAGAACACATATGCCGAGATCTCGGCCATCCAGTTTATATGTGTTTTATTGACTTTAAGAAGGCCTTTGATCTAGTAAAACATACTGAAGTGATAGCCATTCTTCAGTAAGTAGATCAACAAAGACCGCATAGTCAGAAATCAAATAGACTATACATTAGTCAAAATAGATACAAAAATTTAATTAAAACAGTAAAAGCATACCCCGGAGCAGATGTCAACTCAGATCATAACCTGCTGATAGCTAAAATGCACGTGAAACTTAAAAATATTGTAATACCTAAAAATAAACCAATGTTTGATTCTACAAAATTAAGAAAAAGAGAAATACATCAAAAAGTGATCTAACAAGTCAACTCAAATCTATCAGAAGTAGGATATTTAGAAGGCATTACTAAAGGCTGAAGAAGAAAATTTAAAGCCTGAAAAGACAAATAAAAAACAGAAGTAGATGACTTCAGAAATTCTAGCATTAATGGAAGAGAGAAGAAAAGCCAAAAGGAGAAATGAGCCAGAATATCAGAAACTAAAAAGTAGAAGTAAAGTAGAGATAAAAAAGGCCAAGGAAAAGTAGTTAACAGATCTATGCATAGAAATAGATGAGGATGACAGAAAACACGACAGTTTTAATATGCATAAAAAATAAAAGAACTAACAAATAACAAAAAGCGAGCACACTATGCGATACTTAAAGATGATAATGGTCACTCAATTGCAGACATCAAAGATAAACTAAGATTTTGGCAAGAATACCTAATGAAACTATTCGACGATGATATAATGATACAAGAAAAACCACAGGAACAAACGGGACGGAAAATAATAATGTGCGAATTAGAACAGGCAATTAGAAATGCAAAGACCGCAAAATCAGTAGGCCCAGATTAGATACCCACAGAGCTAATTAAATGCATTGACGAAGAAACACTGCATATACTTTTAGATCTGTTCAACAAAGTATATACAACAGGAGTAATACCCGAAGATTGGTTGGTGTCCACGTTTTTAACACTACCTGCCAGTACATGCGACAGAATGCTCCCAGTACAGAACAATTTCCTTAATAAACCACACATTTAAGATATTTCTCAAAATAATACATGGAAGACTATACAAAAAAATTTAAGAAGATATAGATGACAGCCAATTTGGATTCAGAGGAGGACTAGGAACGAGAGAGGCTCTGTTCGCTTTTAACGCTCTCGCGCAAAGACGACCAGATATGAACCAGGATCACTGTCTGCTTAGCAGATTATAAAAAGGTTTTTGATATATTAGGACATCAGAGACTGGTAAACCTGTTAAAAGAAAAGAATGTGGATAGTCGGGATATACGGGCTATTGTCAATCTGTACTGGAATCAAAAAGCAAAGGTTATAATCGAAAATTGCGATACAGAAACTATAGGAATTAAAAGAGGTGGTAGACAGGGTTACGTGCTCTCCCCATTGTTATTAAATCTGTACAGCAAAGCTATTTTTAAGGAAGAGATGTCAGAGGAACTACAGGGTATATCAATAAACGGAAAAATCTTAAACAACATAAGATTCGCAGACGACACCGCTGTTTTTGCAAATAGTCTAGAAGCATTGCAATTTTTAGTAAATAGATTACATTAAGTCAGTATAAAATATGGACTGCAAATGAACATTAAGAAAACTAAGTATATGACTATTTCTAAGCAACATACAGTAGGAAGGCTAGATGTCGAGGGAAAACAAGTAGATATAGTGAATATCTACAAATATCTGGGAGCCTTGGTAAATGAAAACAATGACCAAGGTAGAGAAATAAGGTCACGCATTAAAATTGCAAGACAAGCATTTATAAAAATGAAAACAATGTTTGTTAATCGAGACCTTCCTCTGGAGCTAAGGACAAGAGTCTTAAGATGCTACGTATTCTCGACTTTCAGAAGAAGAAGTGCTTCAAATATGAAGAGGAGTACGGCAGGACTGAATTTTGTCTCCACTAATATTTAATATTTATTTGGAGTTCGCTTTCAATGAAGCATTGGATAGTGCTCAATGTGGTATCAAAATAATTAAGGGCATCAATATTGATAATTTGAGGTACGCGGATGACACGGTTTTAATTGCAAATAGTTACGAAGAACTTTAACATCTGATTAATGGAATTATCAAAAGGTGTCATAAATATGGACTGAAACTAAACACCACAAATACAAAGGTGATGGTTATCAAGAAAACGCCAATACAACCAGAAGCGGTAACGGCTTATGGAAAACAACTGGAGAGAACTGGGACATGAGTAAAGCAATCAGAATAGAAATCCAGAGCTGCATTTTTTTAAATGAAGAAAATCTTGTGTGGAAACAATATTACTTTGAGACTAAGAATTGGATTAGTAAGATGTAATGTGTTATCTATTCTTTTATATGATGTCGAAGGTTGAACTGTTCTAAGAAAACTTAAAGCTTTTGAAATCGGGGTGTATTGGAGAATTCTGCAAATAAGTTAGGTAGATAGAGTTTGTAACAAGGTTGTTTTGCGGCGGAAGGTAAAAATTACGGAAGTGGTTGAAACATTTACAAATCGCAAAATGGAATATTTTGGCCATATTATGCGTCACCCAGAGAGATATAATATACTTCATTAATAATACAAAGCAAGAGAGAAGAAAGAGGCAGGTAGAAGAAGAACGTCATGGCTTAGAAACTTGAGGGGATGGTTTAACACATCATTTGCAAATCTTTTACGAGCTACCCTCAATAAAATTAGTATAGTCAACGCACAATAATCGAACAGGGCATATAAAGAGTTAAGACTGCTCTAAATGAAAGAACGTAAATTTAACATATATCAGGAAAACTTTATATAGTGGATAGAAAAATGTAAAATAAAATATATACAAATGAAAAAATTAAAAATATAGAAAAATTATTGATACATCTGGGTTTATGCTCAATCTTTTTGTTATTAAGATCTATATGTGCTGATTTAAGTTTATTTAATTTAATACGCCATTTGTTTGTCCACTTCGGCAATTGCATTCTGTAACTTATCTGTTGATTTAGTTATGTTGTCACCAACAGCCATAATTACCGTATCATCAGCAAACGCAGCTACAATATTTTGCTTTAATACTGACCGAGCGGGTCCCAGTACACTTCCCTGTGGTACCCCTTGCACTCATTTTCCCTAGTTCAGAATAGGCATCTTCCTGCTTAATCCTGAAGTATCTCTTTGACAAATATGAAATTAAGATCTTTGAGTATTGGACACTAAAGGCCATTTTTATCTTATGCTTCAATCCCTCATTCGAGATCTTGTCTAAGGCCCTGTGCTACTTTTAAAAATATTGCTGAGCAATTTGTTTTTTCAAGTGATCTTTCGATCACGTCAATAATCCGCTGGACTTATCAATGCTAGAGTGCTAATTTCGGAATCCCAATTGGTGGTCGGGGATGAGTCCTTTTTCTTAGAGAATGAGAATCTTCTTGAGCAAGAATTTTTCGAACAGTTTTGACATAATCGGTAGTAAGAACATTGACCGATACGACGTCATTTTATGTGGAGGTTTGCTTAGTTTTGGGATCATGATGATATTAGCTACCTTTCGTAGATGTGGAACATAATTGAAACGAAACGATGCAATTACTAGATTGACAAGTTTAACCTGGGCCTTTCTAGGTAGCTCGTTAAGTACTTGCTTAGTAATCAGACTGTTGCATGAGGCCTTTTTAGGATTAACGTTCGTGTCGGAAACATCTTCGTGTTATGTCGTGTATAAAATCGAAACAGCTAACAAGACGTACAAAGATACAGGTCTATAAAACAATCATACGATCCGTTGTGATGTATGAAAGCGAAACGTGGACGATAACAAAGGCAAACGAAGAGAGACTATAAATATGTTTGGGAAAGAAAAATGCTAAGGAAGATCTTTGGTCCTGTGCTGAATGAAGCATAAGGACAATATAGGATAAGAACTAACAAAGAGCTCGAAGAACTTTACCCAGACGCCAACCTCATAAAATAAATAAAGTCCAGAAGACTCCAATGGACAGGATAAATCAAAAAACATTCTGACGAACGAACAATAAGACTGGTGTGGGAGGAAGTCCCAACTGGAAGGAGACCACGCGGACGCCCTCGTCTCCGGTGCCGAGATAATATAGCAAAAAACCTAAGCACTATGGGCGTGGAGAATTGGATGGAGGTTGCTCAAGACAGAAAACAGTGGAGGCATGTTGTGGAGTTGGCTAAAACCCACGAAGGGTTGTAACGCCATGGAGTAAGTAAGTAAGTTCGTGTCGATTTCATTGTTAACCTCTTTTAGTGTGATTAAAGGAATAACCATAATCTTGTCGAACAACTTCTGGGAGATATTTATCTATGTCTACTATATATGGATGAAAAACACTTTCGAGATAGTGTGCAAATACTAATATTTTTTGTTCGTTGTTTTTCGCCCAACCTCCTTGTTTATTTCTTGTAGGAGGCGTTTGCATAATTGGTCTCTTTAAATTGGTGGTGGTTTTCCATAAAGAGTATTCAGTAATAAAATCATTTGTCAAATGTATCAGGAATTCGATAATGAATTCATTCTTGAGTTGCCTAGTCTCTCTTTTTAGTTATGAGTCAAGTTGGTTTACTCTTGTTCTGTCTTGTGGTGCTCTGGTTAGTTGCCATTTTTTTCTTGCTCTTCTTTTTCCATGGACAATATTTCTTTAGGGCAGTTTTGTCCTTTCAATCTTTTTATTAGTACAGAGATATTTTTCCAGACCGCTCGTTGAATATCGGTATTGAATTTTGCAACCTCAACGTCCAAGTCTTCTTTAGTTTTAAATTCTAACCACTGCCAAATCAATTCTTTCTTCTAGTGTAATTCTAAAGCTGTTCCAGTCCATTTTATTGTTGACCAACCAGGGCTGTAGGCTGTAGAGCATTTGAATGATATTTTCACTAATAGTTAATATAATGGGAGTATGATCCGAATTGACTTCTAAGTTTTCTTCTAATTGTACATAGTTGCTCGATACCCATGATTTCCATATTCTCCTTTCATAATTACCCGCGAATTCAAAAAATGTAGTATTTTGAGCTATCAGCTTTGATATTGTGTTTTGAGGTCGCAGTTCTTTGTCCTAACGTTTACCACCGTTGCCTGAATATCGTCAGCTTCAAATTTGACTTCTTCGTTATGTTGAAGATTTTCTCTGATTATAACCGCACTACCTCCGGTTGCATTATTTTTAGGATGTATGGTGTAATAAACTTTGTTTACTGAGGTGTGTTTCAAATATTAAACACCTATTAAACAAGTTACAGAGTTTATCCTACTAATTAAGAAGGAGGAAACCAAAAACAAATAAAAAAATATTTTTAAAATAAAATAAAATAAAATATATAAAGTCTCACAGAGTCTCACTCTAAAAATTACAGAGATTAGATAGGTTATTCCAAGTTCAAATGAAATAATTTTAGTTTTATTTGTGTTTGGTTTTTCCCATATCTTAATTAGTAAGATAAACTCTGTTGCTTGTTTAATAAGTATAAATGAAACATTTCGACCTATTATGCCAAAATTTGCGATGAAGGTATGGAGCATAGGCATTTCCTCTGTAAAATTAACCTAAAATGTATATAAAAAATAGAAGAACATGGAAGATAAGTTTAGAATAAAAGAAAAAAGAAAACAAAGTTAATAAAATGTCGTCAAATGTTAAGTAATTCTGTTAATTTTATAGTAGTATATAAATTTATAAGAGTAAGCCAGTAAAGATACAATAATTTCATTGTATAATGGAGTTTTTTTTAAAGTATGTTTTGAAAAGGAGTTAAATGAACTTAAAAACTTAGCTTAACGAAAACGAGAGTGGTGATAACTGAATTGAGTTGGGCGCCGCGGGGTGATGATGTGACTGGGCATTGAGATAACGGTTTGTATGGGTGGGTTTCCATACACGGGATAGGAAAAACTATGAGGTGGGTGTTTTTGAATAAGAAAGGCGCTTCAGACTCAACTTCATAAACGTATTGTGACCAGCAGTGGGTTTAAGATTTGATGAGGACAGGGCTGTTGTTTCGAAATGTTACATGTGGATATCACCTATTCTGGGAGAGAGGGGGATCCCAGGGGATCCCATTGGGGTACCTTTGATTTCATAAATGAAATCTGAAATGTGAAAAAAGTGAATAAAGAAACAATGTCAAAACTAACTAGTATATCTGAGAGTGAAATCGAAATGTTTTTTAGAAGATCAAAGAGTTTGACAAAGGATGACGCATTTCATCAAATATTTTTCACATAAGGCAAGATGTTCTTTGCCAATTCCTGAGTGAAGCAGTTGTATGCACTGACGATGGACCTTAGGGGAACATTGGACTTATGGATTTTTGGAAGGCTATAGAAGGAACTGTTAGAGTTGGAGATTATTTAACAGACGACGTAAAAAAGCTAAAAAGAAGTGTGTGACAGGGGTATATACTGACTACCCATTATTATTGATTATATATTCAGAACACATTATGAACCTAGCGCTAACTGATTTAGACGAGGAATACTTATAAATATAGAATAACTGAGCAACATTAGATACGCTGATGACGCTACTATTTTCGCAGACAGTCTAGAAGATCTACGGTCGCTTATCTCCAAGGTAGCTTATCTCCAACTTCTGCTATTTGGATGCATATTTAAATGAACAGTGGGAACACTCGACGGAAATTAAGATAATGATCGAGAAAGCAGGATCAGCTTTCGTGAAAATGAAAAAAAAAAAAACGAAAAAAGTTTGTTTACTAAAGTGCCACGTAATCTCCATTTTTCTATATGGAGTAGAGTCATAGACCTCACAGTATGGGTAAGGAGCACGAACTATAACAAGAAACACAACCATAAAACGTCGCAAACTGGAATATCTAGACTATCTAATGCATAATGTACGTAATACGACTTAGTTCGGACCATATTTCAAGGTAAGGAGAATGGAAAAAAAGTTCAGAAAGAAGAAGAAAATCCTGGCTTTATCTTCTTCTTGGGGTGCCTATCCGTTACGGATGTTGGCTACTACCATAGCAGTTCTAACTGCCTGGCTTTATAACCCACGAAAACAGTTTAACTTGATCACTACCGCACTATTTATAGCAGCAGTCATAAAGTCGAAATAACCATATTAGTGTCCAACATCCGCAAAATCTAACAGATATGCACCATAAGAGGAAGTTAAGGCTCAGCCCAAGAGGGGGTAAAATTTTTATTGTCTGGTATAAAAATAAAACACTGGAAAATATTTAGATAACAAAATTTACCAGAATTCTCCTTCATTTGTCACTTTTATACTTAATAGATCCTGGTCCCTATTGGAAAGCCCGTCCCATTCCCATGAACGTTCACTCCAAGGACCAGTCCATTCGCCTTTCGCCCACGGATTTCTCAGTCTGACTAGTGGAACTTCTCCATTGACTCCTCGTACTCTGGCTAAACCTGTGATGCTGTAAGCGTGTTGCGTAATCAGGCCGTTTCGTAGCCTGAGTTGTCTTTTTGGTTCTTTTTCCTAAAAACAACAAATATATAAAATAATTTTATTTCGTTAAATCAAAAGAAGACTATTTCATTACTTAATAAGTTGAAGGTTAGAAGCTATATATTTTGCAATGGTATCACAGAATGACAGGAACAGATCGGATTTTAGATCGACTATTCACCACTTTTAGTAAACAATTAATTGAAAGGGAAATAATTTGTAATCAATAACATATGGTAAAGTATATGCATGTTATAGAAACTTATGATACGATTTCAGATCATTCTCCCAGATTTTTCAGACCATTCATCTCACACTGAGCAGAAGCCTTTCCAATGAAACACCATACAAAAAGGTATGAAAAAGATAAACCCAAACTAAATAAAAGACATAACAAAGAAGTTAATCAACAAACGACTGAAAAAGCTTTATTAATCTTGAACAGAAAATTGACTTTTCGTTCCACTGAGAACGGAGGAGCAACGAGGTTAAGAAGTTGAATACTAACACTGTAAAAAATATGAAACAAGCCACTTGAAAGAATACTCCTGACATAAAATATAAAACAAAAGGAAATGATTATTCTAAAGAGATTAGAGACCTTATACAAGAAAAAAGGCAAATTAGACGAAAATGGTAAAAGTCCAGATCCCCAACTGATCAAATAGCATTCAAATATTGCAACTCAAAAGTATCACCAATGAATCAGTTGGTGATCATTTGACTTAATTAACGAATCATAGCACTACCAACTATTCACTCTGAAAAGTAATCAGACGATTAAAAAGGCTTACTATATAGGGTGTAACAGAAAGGTAGGTCATAAATTAAATCACATAATCTGGGACCCAAAATGGTTCGATTAAACCTAACTTGTCTTAGTACAAATGTACACATAAAAAAGTTACAATCCTTTGAAGTTACAAAATGAAAATTGATTTTTTTCACTATTTCGAAAACTGTTGGCGGTTTTATATTAAAAATAGACATATGGCTTTCTTATAAAAGAACATTAAAAAAATAACAGTGAATTTTGTGCACCTCATAAAAATTTGATGGGGTTTTGTTCCTTTAACCCCCCCCCCATATGTGTGTAGTTTCGAAACAAATTTTTATGGTACTACCATATACACAATATTCATAAAAAAATTTTGTCTCTTAGTACTTTTTCGATAAGCCAGTTTCAAAATTACAAGGTCTCTATAATCTTACTTAACCATTTACAAACTATGTGGTGGACTTTGAAAATATTTAAAATGGCCTTTAGTTTCTCGAATACATATTCACCGTTTTAAACTGAATAATCTAATAGTTTAGAAAATTATGAGCTTTTAACGAAATCAATTTTTCCTAACCGCGAGATTGACCTCGTCTAAGTACTCTGGCAACACGTTTTGTAGAAAGTGTAAATAATTTTTACCATTTAAATTATTTGAAAGAAATACTGGCCCTATTAGTTATTATCCACACTTCCCATCCAAACATTGACTTTCGTAATGAGAGACTTTTTGCGTGGGTGTTTTCTTCGGCCTTGATGTACGTGTTTGATGGTTTGTAATGCCATTTTTGTTAAAGGTAGCTTCATCAGTAAACAAATCATGATTAATAAAATTGATATTCTGAGTGTTTTCTGTTCAAAACAAATCGCAAATTCTAATTCTTTTAGCATAATCTTTATCCAGTAATTCTTAAACGGTTCTTAAGTGATAAGGATGAAACTGCTGTTTCTTAAATCTTCTCCAAACTCTCATGTGAAAAACATCTAATTAAAACGCTATTACTCTTGTACTGCTTCCAGGGATTTCTTCAATTGCTTCTATCTCCTCATCGTTTGTATCGTATCTACTTTTGGTCGACCAGTATTACCAACAAATTGCTGTCGCAATGTGCCTGTCTTTCGTAAACGACGATCAATGGAAGGAAATAATCGTCTGCTTGGCGTATTTCGATTAGGATATTTTTCCACATAACGCTTTGCAGCTGCTGCACTATTCAATTGGCATTCGCCAGTAATCACCAAATTACCAATAATTATATAAACCCCTAATTTAGTCAGCCCAAACTTACCAAGAATTAAATGTATATTCGCCATTTTTGAAAACATATACGCGATTGTAATAGAAAATTTGTGTTATACAGCCAACTGCTGAATTTTTGAAACATAACCAAAAAGAATCCCCATCTCGATAATAACTGGCTTATTGAAAAAGAAATAATGATGCCACAAAAATAATTTAATTGAAACGTACACAAACATTTGGGGGGTTTAAGGGAACAAAAACCCCCATAAAATTTTTATGGAGTGCACAAATTTCATGGTTATTTTTTTAAAGATGTTAGATAGATAGATAGATAGATAGATAGATAGATAGATAGATAGATAGATAGATAGATAGATAGATAGATAGATAGATAGATAGATAGATAGATAGATAGATAGATAGATAGATAGATAGATAGATAGATAGATAGATAGATAGATAGATAGATAGATAGATAGATAGATAGATAGATAGATAGATAGATAGATAGATAGATAGATAGATAGATAGATAGATAGATAGATAGATAGATAGATAGATAGATAGATAGATAGATAGATAGATAGATAGATAGATAGATAGATAGATAGATAGATAGATAGATAGATAGATAGATAGATAGATAGATAGATAGATAGATAGATAGATAGATAGATAGATAGATAGATAGATAGATAGATAGATAGATAGATAGATAGATAGATAGATAGATAGATAGATAGATAGATAGATAGATAGATAGATAGATAGATAGATAGATAGATAGATAGATAGATAGATAGATAGATAGATAGATAGATAGATAGATAGATAGATAGATAGATAGATAGATAGATAGATAGATAGATAGATAGATAGATAGATAGATAGATAGATAGATAGATAGATAGATAGATAGATAGATAGATAGATAGATAGATAGATAGATAGATAGATAGATAGAAAGATAGATAGATAGATAGATAGATAGATAGATAGATAGATAGATAGATAGATAGATAGATAGATAGATAGATAGATAGATAGATAGAGAGATAGATAGATAGATAGATAGATAGATAGATAGATAGATAGATAGATAGATAGATAGATAGATAGATAGATAGATAGATAGATAGATAGATAGATAGATAGATATATAGATAGATATAATATATTCATCCACAAAGTTTACATAATTCTTACCAAAAAAATGTATAGATCTTATCGGACCAGCCAACATTTTAGTACAAAAGAGTACAATATATAGCAAAAGTACACATGATTAAAATAAAACATTAATTACAATAAAATAAATAAGAAATAAAAGTTTCAAATACAAATTTAGAACTATTGTTGCAAAAATATTAAAAATTTAAAAATCCATCAACACTGTAGAATGTGTTGTCCATTAAAAATGAATACACAGTTTGGCAAAAACCCCTATGTGAAGAATTATTGAGAGTTGATATATTGACTATTTTATTATAACATTTTATTCCAATTAATTCAGGTACATGTTGGGATACAGCTAATCTAGAGAAAGATTGTCGAAATTTTAATTTACCCCTAGTATCATGTGAGTTAGTGTCCTCATTTCTGTCAAACTTGAGCTTGTTTTCCTCAATGCGCAATATTAATTGGAAATTTAAAAGGCTAGTGTTAAAATATTAAACTTCTTAAATAGTGGCTTGCAACTATTTAAAAATGGAACGCCATACCACAGAATAATAAACAATCAGAATGCCCACTCTCCATGGAAAATTAAGTACGCGCATCTCCTTCGCGCAGACGTTCCGCCATGTTTTAGAGGGAACCAGTGTTGTTTATGTGGTGTACATAGAAAAATTAACCCGGTTTAATTGACTTACGGCAATCATAGACATACTATACAATTATATTAACATTGTTAAATATAATAACATAAATATAATATAATTAAACATAAATATAAACAATTACGTAACCTCACAAATCATATGTCTGTGTTATGTGTTTCCTTCTAAAACATGGCGCGCGTGCTGAAAAACTTCAAAGGCGGTATCTGAAAGTGGATATTTTGATTGTTTATTATTCTGTGGCCATACATACTTCTTAAAACTTTCTTTTGAACTATAAATGCCCCTTCAAAATGATACATGAAACATGATTTACGTGAGTTTCCCATGTAAGTTTATAATCTAGGGTTACCCCCAAAAATTTCGTTGTAGTATTACTTTCTACTGTTTTGCCATCTACATGTAAATAAAAGTCAGAATTTGGAATTAAGTTTTTTGACAAAAAACGCATAAAACGTGTTTGTGTTACGTCGAGCTTAAGTCCATTATTTTTACAGTATGTGCTAAATTCAGCAGACGCAACATTGGTATTTTCCACCAGTTGTATGGGTTCACCGTGAGACTTGAGAATATTGGTATAATCAGCATACTGAACAATTTTATCTGGCATTGAGAAAACGTGTTTAGGTTACTTACAAATATAATGAAAAATAAAGGCCCCAGTATTGAGCCTTGAGGTACACTCATTGTACATTGAAGTGGCCTCGACGTAACATTTTCTACTGTGACTACTTGAGTTCTATTACTAAGATAAGATAGGGCTAAATTGTATGGTAGACTACGTACTCCAATACCCTGCAATTTTTGTAATAAGAGTTCACGATCAACCGTGTCAAATGCACGACTAAGGTCATAAAAAACATCCAACATATTTAATTTATTATTTAATGCTTTATAAATAAATTGAAGACAGTAAGAAATAGTAGTATTTGTAGATTTCTTTTTTCCAAACCTATTTTGAATAACAGGAAGAATTTTAAAATGTTCTAAATAATCTTTTAATCTATTTGCATAGGCTGCTTCAAATATTTTAGAGAACTGACTTGACACACAAATCAGCCTATAGTTTGCAATATCCGTTGCAGATCCTTTATTTTTAAAAATAGGGATTCCTTTCGATTCCTGTATATCTGGAAATATTCCTCATGTAAATGATTCATTTATGAGATAAGATAGTGGTAAAGCTATAAAAGTGGCAATCTACATTATTGCTATTTATAAATTGATTATCATATTGTTATAAGATGGGAACTATATTATCCTAACATAATAATATAAAAAATCACCCAGATGTGCAGCTCACTAAGAAATTTACTGCAGACTAATGATAAGAAAGAAACCTAAGACCTCGTATGAACCTGAACAAAAAGGTTTTATCAGACCAGGATTACATAATTTCTAATGCAGTTCAATCCCTTAAATTGTCAGTCTTTAGCTGTAACTAAACATTGGCACCAAATATCGTGCCAATAATTTTGTACAATTTTTTATCATTACCTGTGTTATAGTAGCTATCAATAGACTAGATCTTGGAACTGCACTATTTAATACTTGAAATGTAAGAAAACGATCCTGATGTGATAAACCAAAACTTTGAACTATACCGCCTGTTAAATCTTGTAGAGCTCTCGTAGTGGATCCATATAACAGTTGCTCGTAACATCCATAGAGTCTGCAAACAAAAAGGTCACTATTAAGTATACTAAGCAGAACTAATTAATAACTTTTTTATGATTGGGAATTTTTACTTTTACACAATGTTATTAAATTTTACCAAAGTATAATAACTATGCATCTATCCTAAAGATCACACGCGTATGGCAGATGCAGATAGTGATACCACTCAAGTGAATATTGTCATTTCACCTCTTTCATACCTTACCTAGTCTCTATATGTGTATGGTTTTATCAGACTTTCAATGATTTATCCCACGATCTTGAAAACTGTAGATACTCTCAACTTGGCCGACTTATTGCTAGTCATTGTTTTTCCTATGAGGAAAATTGTTAGTCCTTAGCTAAATTGAGTTTAAATTACTCAACTTTGGGTTAGGACTTCGTAAATTTGCTGACGCATGATAAATCTCAACGATATATAAGTATATTACATTGTTAATAAATAAATATTTATCGAATTATTGAGTTATAAAAGACAAATAGGGTCTAGTTTATCAAATTATTGAGTTATAAAAGAAAAAAAACATGAGTCTAAAAAGGGTATAGTAAATTGTATTCCAAGTTTATGCTCCTACGGCAGATAAAGATGACGACGATATCGAACTATTTTACCATGATTTGGAACAAGTTTTAGAATCAAAGAACAAATATCACACTACAATAGTAATGGGCGACTTCAATGCCAAAGTTGGCCAGCAGGGAAAAGTGGATGGATACGTGGGGTAATATGGTCTAGGAAATAGAAATGAACGTGGTGACCGTTTGATACAATTTTGCCAGACGGAAGAATTTGTAATGGCTAATACACTTTTTAAGCTACCAAAAAGAAGATTGTATACATGGAAATCTCCCAGTGATTCAGCGAATAGAATAATCCAAAATCAAATTGACTTTGTCCTCATTAGACAACGATTTCGTAATTCTATACTGTCTGCAAAAACTTACCCTGGAAAAGACATCGGTTCAGACCATAAGCCCATAGTAGTCACATTACGAACCAAATTGAAACTGGTTAAAAAACCCACACAAAGTAGAATTCATATTAAGAGATTAAGGGAACCACAAACAGAGAAACAAACTGTAAAAACTCTTACTGAAAATCTACGTACTGTCCAAGAACTGAATAAAAGTTAACTGAATAAAATGCTATAACATTGATCAGAAATGGGAAAATATAAAAGAAGCAATAATTAAAACAGCAAATGAAAACTTAAAATCAAAGAAAAGAAAATATAAAGAGTGGATGACTGAAGAGATACTACTATTAATCAATGTAAGAAAATCATTCAAAACAAAAAATCCAATTAAATATAATGAAACTGATCGATTAATTAAAAAGAGAATAAAAAAAGCTAGGGAGAGAATGTTATAGGAACAGTGCCAAGAACTAGAAGAAATTCAGAAAATATGACTTTTTAGCATGCATTAAAGATTTAGAGAACCAACAGGAAACACTTCAACCTAGGCAACAAAGAGATGAAAGTGGGGCACCTAACAGATATAAACCAAAAAATGCAGAGATGGACACAATATATAGCACAACTTTTTGAAGACAAAGAGAGAACAGAAGCACCAAAAGAATTTAAGGATAATACTGGGCCTGACTATCTATTCAATACCATTATATAGAACAGTTGTTATAATACCTAAAGAATGGCTCCAATCAACATTCATACTGCTTCCCAAAAAAGCCAATGCAAAGTAGTGCAGTGAACATCGCACCATAGCCTTAATGAGTCATGTCTTGAAATTGTTTTTAAAAGTAATTCACAATAGAATACATAAGAAATTACATGAAAACATAAGTAATACACAAATGGGATTTAGGAAAGGACTGGGAACACGAAATGCACTGTTTGCAATAAGTGTTATCTCGCAGAGATGCTTAGATATAAATCAGGAAGTATATGCCTGTTTCATTATTTTGAAAAGGCATTTGACAGGGTACAGTATAATCGGCTTAAAGAAATTTTATTAAATAAAGACATAGACAGTAGAGACATTAGAATAAAATGTAACTTCTATTGGAACCAAACAGCAAAAGTGAAAGTTGAAATTGAACTGACCGACGATATCCAGATTCGCCGTGGGGTCCGCCAAGGGTGTATTTTATAACCCTTGTTATTCAATTTATACGGTGAAGCCATCTCAGAATTAGCGCTTGATGAGATCAGTAAGGGCCTTATAATAAACTTAATAACATAAGATATGACACCGTCCTTCTGGCAGGAACACTAGAAGAACTGCAACATCTTGCTCAACAACTAAATATATATTGCAACGATTATGGACTAAAAATAAATTTGAAGAAAACCAAGTTCATGGTATTTACAAAAGCACAAAATATCAAAGTTAAGCTAGTACTAGATAATATAGAAATGTCTTTGTACAAATACCTTGGAGCATGGATCACAGAAGATACTGATCAGACACAAGAAATAAGATGTCGCATTGAAAACGCATGGTCAACTTTTAATAGAATGAAAAAACTTTTTTGTAATCGCGATATCAATATATCGCTTCGGATAAGAAAGCTTCGATGTTATATTTTCTCTATCCTTTTGTATGGGGTTGAAGCTTTGACACTTAAAAAATCCAACATTAAAAACCTAGAAGCATTTGAAATGTGGTGTTACCGACGTATTTTAAAAATATCATGGATGGATCGCAAAACAAGCGAACAAGTTCTCGAACAACTAGGAAAACAATATGAAGTTTTAAATTCCATAAAAAATAAGAAATTGGAATGCTTGGGGCACATCATCAGAGGTGAAAAATACGAATTACTAAGGAATATGATGCAGGGGAAAATCAAAGGCAGAAGAAGCGGAGGAAGGCATAAAATCTCGTGGCTACGCAATCTCCGTGAATGGTTTGGATGCAGTTCAATTGAACTATTCAGGCGCGTAACCAACAAAATTATAATTGCCAGAATGATTTCCAATCTCCGGTAGGAGCGGGACTTGAAGAAGAAGAAAAGACAAATCATCCTTAAGAAGTTAACTTCCCGACACAAATTCCTGAAATCTTCATTGCGTTACCGCCTTCGTCCTTAGATCCAAAGTATAAAAATTTCAACCAAAATATTTGATAATTTTATCAACAATAAGACTATTTAATCAACAATATTTTTAATGTCGATACTACAAGGACACTTTTCCACAAAAAAATATGCATATTCATTTTTGTATCAACATCAACATTCTACAAAAAGGGAATATTTATTATTCTACAGCTAATTTTAATTCATAGCAAGTGATTGGATAATTGCATTAAAGGCTATATAGTTGTTCTGCGTTGCACGCCGGCACACATACAGCATACAGCACCGTATACAAATTGAAAATTAAATTTGTCAGGAATGCGGGTGTTATATCCCTTCATGTTTCCGGCAGATAAAAACTGTTCGAGTATCCACGACAGTCAAGGCCGCAAGCTTGTAAAGTCGCGATAGATTCGCAGAATTGCAGATCGCAGATTGCAGTCTCTGTTTTGTTTTGTCTCCCCTTCCTCCCGCACCGACCGACCGTGGTTAACTGCTCGTTTGTGGTTGTAGAGATGGGATCACCAACAATTTTAACGATTGCGCTTCATTTACATCACCGTAACTATTTTTGAGAATTTACTCGTAATATTTTATGGTAATACAATACTAACAAGAGTGCAAATACAAGGCGATTTTTCACAAGTCTCCGAAATAGGCGTGGGGACACGTTTTGCCCTCACACGTTTCCTTATTTGATGCTAAGTTATTTAATAAGGGAACTATTTCTAATAAATCAACTTATGTTATGGTATATGCTACTTATGTAATTACTGAAATGTATACAATAAATTAGTTATATACATTACTACTTCTTCTGTTTATGTATACACGACTCTGTTTTTCAATGTGCTCTAGTAAGTTGTTGTTCCATCGTTTTGGTGGTATTCCTACTGATCACCTTAATATTGGGGAACCTTCTCTCGCCAGCTTTATTACTCTATTTGTTGTTATTCGGCTTATACGGTCGTACCATTATACTCTTCTATTTCTTACCCAGTCCTTGATGTTCCCCACCTTGCATCTACCTCGTATATCTGTACTTCTAATACTGTCCCATAGAGTCTTACCATCGATTCTTCTAAAAGTTTTTAATCTGCTGTTTCTAGCATTCGTTTTGTCCCCTCTGTGTCTGGTCGTGTTTCTTCCACGTATGTTATTAATGATCTGATGACTGTTTTGTAAAGACTACCTTTCATTTCTTTCCCGATATTTTTATTTTTTCATATTGTTTTATTTAGGCAACCTGCGGCTCTGTTTCCTCTATTCACTTGATCTTCTACATATGTTTCAAACTTTCCGTAGCCAACTAGTGCGAGGCCTAGATATTTGAATTCCATTACTTGTTCTATTATCTTCCAGCTTCTGACATTTTTTCTATAGTAAGTAAAATCTATATTTTTATATCGAAAAAACAAAACAAATTGTTTTAAAAACATATTTTAAATAACTAATACTGAATACAGTTATACAATTTCCCGCCGTCAAGAATCTTCGCACTAACTCCCAAACCAAGGCCACGTCAGTGAACCACGTTAGCATTGGCGGTATAAAAGGATCTTGCACTATCTCTAGCAGCAGCACCAGTGAACAGTGATCTGGGTACTGAACACATGGTACTAAACCAGAGAAGCCGTAATAAAAACGTTAGAGAGGAAGTGGGAAGTTAAGTGTATTAAAGACTGCGTCGCAAACTGGGATATCTTGTCCATATAATACGATAGTGAACAATGATACGACCTACTTCGTACCATACGTTAAGCTAAGGGGAGGGGAGCATGACAGGGGAGGTCCAGAAATAAGAAGAATATCCTGGCTTCATGGTCCAAACAATTTCCGCAATTAAACCTATTGCCTTCCGGGTTAAACCGCGTCGATTATCATTGAGCCGAGCTTTCGACATCATCTTTGATGTCTCCTTACTTCTTCGGAGTACTCAGTTTCCCGAGCCA